TTAGCTTTGCGTTTTCTCTATAATCAATCCAAGTAGCCTCAATTTTCATGGCCTCTTTCCTTCCTCTCACCTTTTGTCTTGTGTCGCTCTTCTCACTATCTACATTTTTGCAGTTTGCTTTATAAGTTTATAATTCTCTCTCCCTCTCGCTTCTATTCCTTCTTAGATTTCTAATTCTGTTGCACATGCAGCTTAATGTTAAAAAAAATCTATTTCCTAGTTTCCTTACAAGTATCTTAATGGTTAATCTTTCATTACAGGCAATGAAGGTGGAGAATATGGTAAAATTGAAGGAAGAATTTGACTACAAGAGCTTGTGCAGAAGGCTTGATGTAGAGCTAGACAAGTTATTTTCTGAGAACGAAAGGCTGCAGAAAGATTTTGAAGATGAAATTGAGAGAGTTAAAGCAGAAGCACAAAATCGAATATCAGAGGTTGAGAGAAAATATATGATTTCCCTAGAGGTTTGCAACCATCCCTAGATATGTGGACTCACAATAATTCATTTATGTTTGGTTTTATTCTTGTTTTTTTTCAATGCTGTACAGCTTAATTCTTCGTTCCTGAGTTGTTCTTTTACTGGGGATTTGTATTAGGTAATGTTTTCGTAACTAAGGCTTCATGCTGCTACATATTCCCATAGTCTCTGAAGTCTCGTTTAGCATTTGTTATGTTAGGGTGGAGGTTGGGGATGGTTGCAATATGGTCTTGGTTCACAGTATAGTTTGCTTCGCTTCCCATGATGTTGATCTGTGACTGCCTTTCCTAACTTTGTAATTTATGCTAACATGAAGAAAAAACTGTAGGCCCTATCCAGCTAAATAATACACGCTTTACTAAATTAAAATTTTTTAGACTTCAAATCGTGTGCGGTACTTTGCCTTGTGATTATTTGTTTGGTTAAAGAATTCTTAGCAGTGTGGAAACTAACTTTGCAACTTGTTTAGATCTATCATAGGCCCCCCATGGATACTTAAATGAGAGTCAACCTATAGTTTTCTGTAGAAGAGCTAGGCTTTTTGTGCTGTGTGCATTGACCTTGCATAAGATTTGGGAACTCCTTACTAACAAAAGGAATGGGATGTGGATGTGGTATTCATCATCCAGTACAACATTTAACATCATGATTGCGTTTTTAATTAAAGGAGATGTTGAAGGAATTGATTGAGGTTTTTATTTCCTAAAGAAATAATCCGGTCTTCTGGTGCGCTCAATTCTGGCAGATCAGTTTGCTTTTTGAACTCTAGACAGCAAGGTGCAGCGTGAAACAAATTCATTTGATTCCATTAGTGGTCTGATTTGCTGTAGGAAGCTCTTTGGCACTTGATTCTAGGGTAAGCTTAGCTCGTCTACCAATTGCCATGGAAAGAGATGCCTAGCAGTGTTCCATATATCCAATTAATTGCGATAGTTTTTTCACAACCAGAAGCATGTTCCTTAGACCTTATTTTATAGATATAAATCATAGTTTAAACTCATTTATATGTGAAATAAAAAGTTACAACATTTGAGGGAGTTGTGAAAGTATTTGTGAAGATTAAGGTTAATTTGGATTATTTACTACACCTAACCAAACTATGAGTTTAGCAAACTTCATCATTTTTCAAGCCATGTTTTCTTACTACAAGAAAATAAATGGGTCCTTAGCCAGAATTTCAATTCCCAAATTCTAGAAATCCAATAAGCCAGCTTAGTGTTCTGATATATTTTGATGATTATCCATCATTTAGTTTTTTTTTTTAATTTTTAGTAGCTTTTCTACATTTTTTGACAATTTTTTATTTTTTATAGTATGGAATGAATAATTTATGTATATTATGCTACATCAATTTATATGATTATATCATGTTATTCGTCATATTGGTTTTGACTTGTGCAAACATTGTCATATTATCATTATTCTTATTTTTGAACTAATATTTGAGGATTTGTTATTAATCTATCACTTTACAGATTAAGCTGCGATTTCTGAATGCTAGTTCTTATATATTATGTTTGTAAGTTCTTTTTTGACTTTTCATTATGTGCTTTGCATATTGCTTGAAATATGTTATGTACTTCAATGTTTTAATGTTTAAACAATTGCACATATAAATTTTTACAGATTATGTTTTTTAAAGTTGGCATCTTCTTCGGGTTGGTGTCTTCTTTGTAGAATGCACTTACTTTGCCTCTAGTCTTTCTTTTGGGCAATCTAGGACTAAATCACTTAATGGGAGCGTGCTTTCCTTGCATTCATCATAACTTCGCTGGAGTTCTCTCTCTCTCTCTCTAGTTTAATGCCCAGATTCAAATGCTTCAAAATTGTTTGGTCACTTAGATTTGAACCCATAGTCACAGTTTATGTTAGCTATTTAAATTGCTATATTTATTTGATTGAGGTTTTCTCATTTAAAATGTGGGATCAACATTCTAGAAGGCATTAATTTCAATAAATAGAGCATTTTATTTTTGTAAGCGGACATTTCATGCTGAAATCTTAACTATAAATTATCAATTCTTTGGTAGAATGAGAGATTGAAGTACCAACAAGATTATATGGACTCAATAAAGAAGCTTGAGGAGAAGTGGATGATCAATCAGCAGATCAGTAATAACGAGAGATTTTGGGTTGGCAATCATGAAGGATTTATGGATGGTGGAGAGGTTTGTATAGCCACCTTTTCCTTTGACGCCATAAAGATATAAAGGATTCAAAGCTTCCATATGAATCTTCTGTAGCCTCTCTAATGACTAAACAGTACTTCGAAGATTTTACCCACTTTTTTTTGCTGCTTTTGTTAATTGGAATTTATCTGAATATCTTGTTGCCTATTTATATTTCTTGTAGAATCCCTCTTTTGTCTCATTTGATTCTCTTTGCAGTTTTTTTTTCTTCCTATGTGTGAACTGTGTGAAGTCTCAATCTTGACTGATAGTCCCAGCTTATCGTTTTCCAAAATCGCATTGTTTCCAATATTCTCTTCACGAACCCCCAGCGAAGAGAAATTTTAAGCTGCTGTCGTTTGCTGCTTATAATTTTGTTATGCTAATTATATATATATAGCAACAAAACATAGAACTATTTTATCGTATGCTTATAATTTTGTTATATAGAACTTATATTTTTTTTGCTTATGTTGTTGAATGCATAGAAAGATAGTCTTATGACTCTTGTAGTCACGAATTAATGAGGTGAGAATAGAGTTGAATGGATTTCACAATTCTTTTAACAATAATAATTGCTCAATAAACTAAATATAAATATAGATCCACCTAAACAATTTTCAATCTAAACATACGATAAAATAGTTCTTACTTATTTTCAACTGACCCTCACCTTATGTAAACACAACCTTCTTAATAAGCAATTTAATTAACATGAGATTTACCTGAAAATTTTCATTTAATGGTTTGAGTTATTAATAATAAACTCAGGGGTCAACTACAATTCATGATGCAACAAAACATACATATGAGCAGTTATACTAAGTTATCAAACTTTTCATTTAATATACTTATGAATATTTAATATAGAGTTGAGTACCGCAAATTCTTGATCGATAAAATGTACTCTAACATTTCTATTCCTTTTAAAATCTACTCTTTTAACATTTCTTTTATTTCAGGAGCACTGCTTAAATTTTCTACCAATGAATGTATTAACGTGCGGCTCTTCTGAATCAAAGCTAGATCGGTAGCAAGCAGAGCAAGAGGGGGGTTCGACCCCCATGTGGGACCCAAGAAGGATTTAATTCAATATGTTAGAACAAGAAATAAAGAGAGGGAGAGGAATTGATTTAGGAAAGATCCAAATCAAATTCAAATTGGGGAGGGAATCCATTAAGGAAAGGGACTAGTTTAGGAGGGAATTTGGGAAGCCTATTTAGGGCTAATCATATTATATTTTGAGATTATTGAATTAAATTTTTACTGTAGTTTGTTTTGTGTGAGTCTTTTAGCGGCATCTAGGGTTTGTGGAAGAGCTGATCTATCTCTCGAAGAGTAGATCACTTGCATATTAATAAAAATATATTCCTTATCTTCAAGTTCTTGCAATTTTATGCTTGTTCTCGTGTTGTTTTTATTTTACTTCCAAGATGCATCAAATTGGTAGAGATAATCTACCTCTTAAAGAGTAGATCACTTATGTTTTTCATTATTGTTGAAGTATTATTAAAAAATCAGTCCTTATCATCAAGTTCTTATTGTTTTCTACTTGTTCTCTTGTTTTTTTTTTTTTTACTTTCAAGATGCATGAAATTGGTATCAGAGCGAGTTTTTTTTAGACTATGACAGCAAAGAAGGTGAATGTGTTGGAAGGCGAAATGGAGCAATTCAAATCTGGGGTGGATGAGAATTTCTTAATCATTGAAGGAAGATTTTCAACCATGAAAAATCGGATGGAGAGCCGATTTGAAGGGTTGGAGGAGATGATGAAGAAGCACATTGAGATGCAATCCAAAAATTTACCGACAGTTTCGATGGCTAACCCTCACCACGATTCAGTCGGGATTCCCTTGGTTGAATTTAAAGGGAAAGGGATTGGACGAGAAGGGTTTGACGAAGAGAGTTCCTTTCATCAAAAGCCATATCTTAGGGCTCTGATAAGGGGCAAAATAGGGTTGTTGGAAGGACAACAAGGAGTTTTATGGTGGGTTTTATGGAGGAGGTGGTAAGGCGACCGACCACTATGGGAGGCTATTTGGGCAAGGGGAGTGGACAATCGTAGAAGGAGGTGGACGAGCCGAGGGATAACTATGGGCGGAATAGGAAGTTGGGGTGGAAAAGCGAAGGTGAGGAACTTGAAGATGTTGGTGTTCGAAGGGGAGTATGCCCATGGGTGGTCATACCAGGTGGAAATGTATTTTGTGGTGAATGGATTGAAAGATGAGGAGAAGCTTACAACCATAGGGTTATGCATGGAGGGAAACCCTCACTTGGTTCCAGTGGAGGGAGGCTAGATACCAGATCCGTTTGTTTTAGAAGTTTAAAGATTTATTGTTGGAACGTTTCCAAGCCATTTGGGAAGGAGACCTACACGAGCAATTCATGGCTATGGTTGAGAAGTAATAAGAGTGGGGTTGCGGGAGGCTCTTATCGAAGTACGTCAACTTCATTGGCATCAAGGACCCAGATGATATCATTTCAGTGGGAAGCACCAAGGGAGGAGTGGGGGAGTTTGCCCTGATGCTAACTTTAAGTGCCTCATAGAGGCAGAGGTGTTGGACAAGATAGTAAAAGGTATGTACTTTTGCTGTGATGAGAATTATGCACCAGGCCATCGGTGCAAAGACCACACACTCTAGGTCCTTCTGATTTGTGAGGAGGAAGAGACTGACAGTGAGGACATGGTGGAGAAAGCATAAGAAGGAAGAGAGCATCTACACCTTTATGTAGCGAAAGTGGCCCTAAATTTCATGGCGTGATTTACTCCAAATCACACCATAAAGGTGAGGGGATAGATCATGGAGCAGCCAGTGGTGGTTTTGGTGGATAGCGTGGCTACTCATATCTTCATCTCCCAACCTGGTTGTGGACCAGTTAAGATTGAAGTTGGTGGATACTGGGAGCTTTGGAGTTATGATGGGAACGGGAAAGGTAGAGAGGAGTAGGGGGATTTACAGGAGGTTGGTGCTGGCACTCTAGGGCATATAAATACTGGAGGATTTTCTTTCCTTAGATTTGGGGAGCATTGATGTGATCTTAGGGATTAAGGGGTTACAAACGATCGGGCATACCAAGGTGGACTAGAAGTCCTTAATCTTAGAGATTCAAATGGAGGGGAAGAAGGTGGTGTTACGAGGGGATTGCCAACATATGCAGAACTATGGTTTCACTCAAAATCATGGTCAAGGCAATACAGGGAGCGGGGCTGGGCTACTTTGTAGAGCTGTAGAGTTTGGAGGGGATCCGAGATTTAGAGGAAAACAAGGTTCTTGAGTGTGTGCATTAGCTTTTGCAGCAGTTTCTTGAGATTTTTCAGCAGCCTAGCAGATTAACGCTACCTTGGGAGCACGAGCACATTATCACCTTGAAGTGTCCAATCAGTGTCCGATCATATCGATACCCATAGATTTAGATAGAGGCTCATCAGAGAGATGTTAGAGGCAAGGATTATCAAATTATCAGGCCTAGTGCGAGCTTCTTTTCCAGCCCAATATTACTAGTGAAAGAGGATGATAATTCGAGGTTTTGTGTGGATTATAAGGCCCTAAACAAGAAAATTATGCTGGACAAATTTCCTAGCCCTGTGATTGATGAGTTGCTAGATTAACTATTTGGGTCGGTCATCTTTTCAAAGATTGACATGAAATCATGATATCACTAGGTCAGAATGAAGCTAGAGGATGTACACAAGATAGCTTTTAGGACTCATGAGGGTCACTACGAGTTTCTGGTGATGCCTTTCAGTCTTATAAATTCCCCAACCACTTCTCAGTCCCTCATGAAACGGGTTTTTCAACCTTGTCTCAGAAAGTTTGTCTTGGTATTTTTTGATGACATCCTAATCTATAATAATACATAGGAAGAACATATAGGTCACTTGAGAACGGTGCTAGAGGCGTTGAGGGAGCACCGGTTGTATGCCAACCTGAAGAAATATTTGTTTGTATAACCACAAGTGGTGTACCTAAGATGTGGTAAGCAAAGCAGGGGTAGCTACAGATTAATTGAAGATTGAGGCTATGCAAGATTGACCTTTACCTAAGAAATTGAGGGAGCTGAGAGAGTTCTTAGGCCTCACCGGTTACTGCTGGAAGTTTGTGTGAGGGTAGTGTGGGATGATAATTTGACCATTGATTAAGACAGCTAAAGAAGGATATTTCAAATTCGGGGGGGGGGGGGAGGGGGAGGGAGACTTCAAAGAGGCTTTCGATTAGCTGAAGAAAGCAATGACCAGTGTACCAGTGTTAGCACTTCCTGATTTCAGCCAGCCATTTATGGTGGAGACAGATGTGTCAGGATACAGACTGGGGGCAATGTTCATGCAGGATCATCAACCTATTGTCTATTTCAGTCATATGCTCACAGCTAGGGCAAGATTCAAGTCTGTATACGGGATGGAGCTAATGGTTATTATCTTGGCTATTCATAAGTGACGACCCTATTTGTTGGGGAGATATTTTCTAGTCAGGACAAATCAGAGGAGCCTGAAATATTTGTTGGAACAACGGATGGTCACTGAGGAGCATCATCCATGATTATCCAAGTTGTGTGTATATGATTTTGAGATTTAATATCGACTGGGCTTAAAAAATAAAGTAGCATACGCCATGTCTAGGAGAGACGAGAAGCCTCAGTTAGCAGCATTGTCAGTATCCATGATCTTAGATTGAGAAGTTTTGAAATAAGAGAGTGAATAGGATGAGGACTGAGAAAGATTAGAGCCGATTTGCTTATGAACCCAAACAATCATCTTGGTTACGTACCGCGGGGAGTCCAGCTGCTACTTCAAGGGAGAGTAGTTTAACGAGGGGATTAGGATACATCCCCAATTACAGGAGTTTCATGGCTTTGCAGTTGGAGGGCATTCAGGAGCTCATAAAATTTGAGTTCCCCTATATTCAGAGGCAAGACTAAGGATCCCAGGGTTCTTTTTGCCCTTGTTTGTTGAATCCTTATTGAAACATCATGCTTCTATTCAGGTACTGGACGTTCAGAGC